CCATCTTCCCTGTACCCCACGTCTGCTGTGCAAGCCTCTCTTCTTAGAAGGCAACAGTCAGACCAGCTCAACTTAGTTACCTCTTTAGAGTGTGTTAGTAATGTTACTTCTCAAGAGTATTCAAGTTCTAAGAACTCTTTTAGAAGTCAGAAATATTCCCTTTTCCATGAAATATGACTAACATTTTGAAGTAGGCACCAACATGATTTTGAGGATAGGGGAGGGAAACACAAGTCAGCCAAAAAATAAATAAATAAAAGCTTGCTAGTGACAAAAATCTCACTTCCCTTAAAGAAAGAAGTTGTGGTTTGAGGTCATGATGTAATTTCAGCTCCTGGTTCTCTACTAGTTATGCAAATTTGGGCGTTTTATCATCAGTAGTTTTAGGTTTCCATGCTCATTTATTTTATGAAAAACAAAACCATAGTGTTTGTTTCGTTCTGTATTTTACTTTATACGAGAACACAAATGGTAATCCTATTTTCCCATAAGCAATTTAGAGAAAGTTAACTTCCAGAGAAGTACCTTCTGATTAAAATGTTCACGCTGGAACCATTCTGTATTCCTGAGCTAGAAAGTATCAGAAAATCCCTGTGTCCCAGTCAGGAAATCCGGATTCAAATTCTGACTTGTCCAAAAGCTTTAACACCAGAGATGTATTAATTACACTGAGTTAGTTTCCTTAACTACAAAATACATCGATTAAAATTATAACCAATAATGCTAAGATTTTTATTGCGATTCAAACAAAATAATGTCGATGGAAAGGAGCTCATAAGGAATAAAATGCAGATGGACACAAGACTGGAATTACGAGCTCTGTCTTCAAAGAATTGGCTTTTGTGAAGGGGTCAGCCCCCTGAGTTGGCAGGGTTATAAAGTTATATACGGACATTCAAGTGTCAGTGCAACATTTGTCAAGTTAAAATAACGTTGCCTTTGGGCTCATCTCTGTGCAAAAAATACCATGACTCCCTTCTCATAAAGCATGAAGTACCTTCGTTTCTGGGCATCTCCCAAGACTGCACTACAAGGACATCCAGAACACATAGTGGTGTCCCAGCGCTTGGTCCAGGGCACAGCCGGTCACAGCTCAAGTCTCCTATCACTCAGCAAGAACTAGAGAGCAGTTCTTCTAGTTTTAGTTTGCTCCACTCTTTGAAGATTCTCTCAAAAGGATGCAAACTCACACAGGAAGACAGGAGACCATATGTAAGCTTTATTGAGACATTACAGTAGACAGACAAGTGGATGAATACACACCCTATAATCTACATTCTTCTGGATGATGCAGAGAAGGGACAAGCTGAACAGCCTGGCCTCTACTTCCCTTTGGACATGGTTAATACTGGGGTTTTTCAGACTGACATACTCTAGGAAGGAAAAAAAGTGGAACCAAAGGAAAGTAGAGGGTGGCAGTAACCCTTCCCATGAATGAAGAGATCGCAATGCATAGCTAAGAGCCCTTACCCAACTGCAGGTCAATTTGTTTCAAAACTGTTCCTGATGGTAAAAGATCACTTTCCTCCTTATACCCCTAAAAGGCAGAGACAAGTCAAGTGTTTCTTCTTCACCTGGGCTATCAGAACCTCTGTGAAGCAACATACAATCCCGACAATGGGTCCAGATATTAACTCTTGAAATACAAGGCCTAGGTCACACACACACCCTTTTCTCTTTCTCATCTCCCACAAATCTTCTAGATTCTCAGAAAAACTCCAGATGATTCTTGTATTGATTTCAGACGTTGTTTTATGACCAGTGCATAATCTATTCCTTAATTCAGAACTTGTTATTTCTGTCAGTGAACCAGGAAATTGTCCAAAAAAGAGAAAAATAGAATCAAGGCTGTTGTTGATTTTGATTACATTCCCAAAAAGTAGTTTAGGTAGAAGGTAGAGAGCATACCTGTCAAACTTGAATAAATACCACATAATCAAAAAAGTTACTCTCAGGTTGCCAAATAAATAAATAAAAATCCTTAGCTCAACCTTGTAAGGTCTAATGGTTTCCCCAATTATACCTATAATCTTTGCATGGAAAAATCAAAGTGAGAAGACATAAGATGTTAGTCAAAATGACGGCAAACCTAGAGCTTTGGACACAACTCAAGGGACCGGCATATGCCTGGCCTCAAAGAAGCCTTGGGTTCAACACTCAGCACCTGGGGAGTAGTGGGGGGATATCTATCAATTTTATCTGTTCCGTTGTTTGTCTGGCATTTCTGTGGATAGAATTACCAGAAAAGGCCATATTATCACAGTGAGGTAAAATATTAAGTATAAAAATAAACACCATAATTATAATCCATCCCAACTAGTCCCATAGATCAGCAAACACAAGGCTGAAAATATCAAATAGTAGAAAAGGGAGAGCTACAATAGAATACGGGCTTTGAATTTTTTTCAAATTATAGTAATGCCATTTATGTTAATAATTTTAGATTTCTTTGGAAGAATAAGCCCATAAATCCATGTCTGACTCTTTGTTGAGTCAGTCTTTTTATGTTGCCAGTCTTGGGGTTTGAACTCAGGGCCTCGAGCTCTTGCTTAGCTTTTTTGGTCAAGACCAGTGCTCTACCACTTGAGCCACACCTCTACTTCCAGCATTTTACTAGTTAGTTGGAGATGACAGTCTCAATGGACTTTTCTGTCCCTGCTGGTTTCAAACTAAGATTCTCAGACCTCAGCCTCCTGAGTATAGGATTATAGGCCACAAAATCTCTTTGATATTAGTAGCAGATAATTATCTAGCTTCTGTACCTTTCTCCCAAAAGGTTGATTACTCCAATTATTAGATCAATGTAATTGATAGCTGATAGTTATTGAGTGTATACTCACCGCCCGATAGATGACTCCTGTCATCTATAAGATAACCTCGCAGCAGACTTCTATCAACACCCTTTTCACAGGCAAATGTATTTAAATGTTGTTTCTTTTGCATTCCCTTGGTGGGCAATGTGCAGGCACTCATTTTGGGCACAAAGGCTGAGTCACAGATAGGCTTATATAAAGCATGCTGAGGTGGATGTTAGGGGCAACTGAGGTTTGGATACTCCTTTCTTATTTGGGTCATCAGTTTGTACCAGAGCACTTACAAATCACCAGGTGCAGAGCCAATGGCTTAGCTATAGATCCAGTTAGGGGTGGAGTCCAATGAAAATGCATTTTCTCCTTACAGGGAGACTTGGAAAATCAGTGTAAGAGGTGCACAAATCAAGAGAATGTATGTACTGAAGTGTAACCGAGTATTTCATTTCATTTCATTTTGCCTTACTCTGCATATGTCCCCGATTACCTTAGCACTGGCAAGCGTTGTACTACTAATAAGCTCCCAGTCCCATTAAGTAAAGGGTACCCTTGGTCAAATGTGTATGCACATTTGAATGTATGCATTTTTGAAAAGGAATTCCTTTTTCTAGGATTATTATTAACAATGTAAGACCAGAGAGGTAGGCTCTTCTCATATAAACTGATTCCCGACTAGTCATTCCTACAAGTGAGGGTTATCTAGGAAGGGGTTTTAGCCATCTAGGTGATGTAATGTGGGAGCACACACACACGCCTCTGGCCAGAGGACCTCTGTCAGCAGGGATGGATGCACTGGTTCACAGCCTGTTTTCTGACAGGGTGTGATGTCTGGTAGAACGCCTACTTCCTTCTGCACACAGGAAAACCTGCCTGACCATGTGCAAGCAGGGTTGAGTGCACCATCAGGGGCCCGCCTCTCAGCTGATTCCAGGGCTATGGTGCCGTGTGCCACTACCACCCACACTCGGACCTGCTGCTCTAGGGAGCAGTGGCCAGTGTTTCTTAGACCACGGCTTCTGCTATGGAGGAAATAAATCCGGCTCAAGTTAGAGCGAGCATCACTCTCATTCTCGGCTAACATATACTTGGTGAAAGCAGCTTTTTATGAAAGTAGCATAATCCTCTGACTGGAGGGAACTGCACATTCATAGAACATTTCAGCTGGAGAGGGCTTTAGAGCATCTAGCAAAATGCTTCATTTCATAAATGAGAAAGATGGGGCCTAAGGAAGTAAAAGAACTCACCCTGCCATGTGCCAGATCAAAGGCATAGGCAAACTGTCATATGTAAGAAACTCAAAGTAAAAATGGACAGAAACTGACAGTTCAAAGATGACACAGAGAGTGCAGCAGTATTAACAGCCAAAGAAGTACTGACGTACATGTAGAAAAACCTCAGGATTAAATGTAAGTATGAAATCCAGCTAAGCCCTCTGACAGAAAGCTGAGAAACTGTGAGAGCTTAAATCCTGAAAAATGCATGAAGACTTACAAACAGATCTTTATGTCTAAGAGACTGCAGTTGTCTAGTAACTAATGTTCAATTTAGAGGACAGAACTAACAGTAGCCTATGTGAGGAAATCGGAAAGCACAAAGAAAGAACATTAGTCCATTATACTTCGCTAGTGTTAAGTTCTATGCTTACATAAAGCTCTTTGCTATCAAAAGTCAAAAAAAACTCTGTGGCTTAAACAATCAGTTATACAACACAAGGGTCACTCCCAAGCTTTCTAGTACAGGTAGGAGTTTCTGTACATTCCTCTATTCCCAAGAGCATTCTTCCTTTCCCAAGATGTCTGCCCATCAGAAGACTACAAGAAACAGGAGAAACCCAGAAAGGAAGCGAATCTTTGGTTTCCTTGTCAGGGAAGTCCTTTGCTGAAGGAACTGTCTCCACACAGGTCTTCTGTGCTCACTCTGCTGGGACAAGGCTGCAGGCTGGGAAAGAGCAAGACATTTTAGGCTAGAAAGGGAGTGTTCAGGCACTTGTCAGAGGTTGGAAAATGATGGCACATGTGAACCATCAGCCATGCACAAAGTGGTCAGAGACACCACTTCTCAACAAGCATGTTTTTAGAACTCATTACGTTTTACAAAACCTGTGATCTGAGAAGCTGATGTCAATATAACTAGACGTGGTAGTTTTGGCATATCAAAAGTATTTACATCTCAGCTAACACACAAAGCCAATGAATAGAAAAATTATTTATAAATGCACATATATTTACAATAGCATCCCTAGGCAATAGGGAATACAAAACCTTTGACCTGGTATCAACTGGTCAAACCTGGGATTCTTGCTGCAGACCTTGAATATCAAAGCCTTGTCTGAACTGTCTGCTTAAAACCTCTCAACAATTCCAGTCACACTCGCCTTCCAGAGGGCTCCCAAGTTATTTTTGTTTCTCGGAAGGCAAAGAGAACATCAAAGTAGAAGTGTTTTCTCAGGATCCTTCTAGAACTGGGACAAGCAGCAATGGGGCTCTTTCTGGTGGGCAATGCACACCTGGGCACACCCCAGGAGCCACCAGGAAGCACATTTGCCCGAATACTCCTCTTTGATCCATGTATCCACCAGCCACTCCCTCCCTTCATCAGGAATAAGCCCGCACAACGGCCAGACCTACACTGTGTGGTCAGAAACAAAGGTAAGACCAGCGCTGACCTTGGGGTTCCTTCCGGACGCAGAGGTAGTAAATACAAAACTAATTAGAGTTTCTGACCCTTCTCTTCCTGGAGAGGGCTTCAAGTGCCCTCACAACCATCTTGAATGGCTCGAGTCCTACTGAAATCGTGTAACCTGTGGGCCGGCATGGAGGATGAACAGTCAGGGACCCTCTCCACCAGACCCTCCTTTGGATGAGGCTGAGGGGAGGAGAGAGAAGGTAGACCTAGTTCTTTGTTTATGTTCCACAGAGGCCGCTGCGCTGTTCCTGAGAACAAAGAACAAGAATTATCAGTGGTTATTATGATTTCAGATTTCATTTTCTAAAAGCTAATGGACTTTTAACCCAATCTTCAAAGAAATAACACCTGATATCCCTGAGTTAACGGCAATGAGATCAAAGGCACACCTGCCACAATTAAAAACAAAAACAAACTTAAAAATATCTTATCCACAGTTAAAACAAAATGAAATAAAAACTGAAACTATTCTTTATCAAATCCATTAACCTGAAACTATGTGTATTTCATGTTCTTCGTTATAAGTCAGTAGATTTGCTGCTTTGAAACTTAAGAACTCTTCACAAAAAGAAAATGACTATAGAGACATATTGTCATGAAAATTCCATGATACACATTTTGTAAATAAACAATCATTTCTTCTAAATTCTAGTATGTAAGAACCAAACAATTAGTAACAAATAATAAAAAGCACCTATATTATATCAGATTATCTGAACTTTGGTTTTAAAAAAATGCATCTTCATTTATTTACCAGAGTGATGAGCTCTTTTCCAAAGGACTGCTTACTGAGTTATGTTAACTTTATAGCTCTAATTAATCTGAGAAATAAACACCCACAAATAAAAATGAAATCAATGTAAAAAGTAAGTAGGTTTTTGAAGTCTTGATATGCACAGGAATAACTTGAGGGTTTTATTAGAATGTAGACTCAGATTCATTAGGTCTGGGGTGGGATTATGAATGCATTTCTTTTTGGCAGTATTGGGTATGAACTCAGCAGGCACTCAATCACTTGGCCACACGTCTAGTCTTTCTTTTGCTTTTTTTTTTTTGTCCATCATGGGGCTTGAACTCTTGGCCTGGGCACCATCCCTCAGCTCTTCAGCTCAAGGCGAGCACTCTACCACTTGACCCACAGTGCCACTTCCGGTTTTCTGGTGGTTAACTGGAGATAAGAGTCTCAATGGACTTTCCTGCCAGAGCTGGCTTTGAACCTCGATCCTCAGATCTCAGCCTCCTGAATAGCTAGAATTATAGACATGAGCCACTGCCACCCAGCTTGCTTTAGTTTTCATACAGGATCTCACATTTTTTTGCCTGAATGGGTCCTTGGACCACAATTCTCTTACCTACGCTTCCTGTCTAGCTGAGACAAAGATGTGTGCCACCACGTCTGACTTAACTGTGTAGAGATGGAGTCTCACTAAGTTTTTGCCTGCCTGGCCTAGAACTTCAGTTATCCTGATCTCTGCCTACCAAGTGCTGGGATTACAGGGGTGAGCTGCCTGCCCATGACTGCAATGCAAACACGCTCTAAGGTAATGCTCAAACCTAGCCCACACCTTTAAACAGCGAGAGCAAAAGCACTGAGGTAAAGAGGAGACAATCACCCAACTACTCTTATTTGCTGATCTACTTTCCTTCAGACTAGATTGAGAATTAAGTCATCCAAGAAAAAGTTTTTTAAAAGATGCATTATACTTTGGTTCTTTTTTTTTTTTTTTTTGGGGTCTGGTCATGGGGCCTGAACTCTGGGCCTGGGTGCTGTCCGTCTGCTCTTCAGCTCAAGGCTAGCGCTCTACCACTTGAGCCACAGCGCCACTTCCGGCTTTTTTCTTTTTTTGCTTATATGGTGCTGAGGAATCAAACCCAGGGCCTCATGCATGCAAGACAAGCGCTCTACCACTGAGCCACCTTCCCAGCCCACTTTGGTTCTTCTTAAGTCTTTAACTCTTCTAGGAAGTGGAAAGATGGATTTAATGATGGTAAATTGCTTTCATGGACCCTGAATATAAAGAGGTTAACTTCATCCGGGGTTTAGTGGCTTATGCCTAAACTCCTGGCTACTCAGGAGGCTAAGTCTAGGAGCACTGTGGTTTGAGGCCAGCCCAGGCAGAAAAAAACCCTCCTCAACTCACAGTGGGGACATCCTAAGCCATGTGGGAGGTGGCAACGGGGTGGATTATGGCTCCAGGCCAGCCTGTGCAGAAAAGTCTGTAAGACCCCATCTTCACAGAGGGCAGCTGGACACAGGGCCTGTGCCTGTGTCCAACACTAATTCAAAGTTTAAAGGCCACCCACGTGGGAAGGAAGACCACCTCAAAAATAACCACTGGAGACAGGGTTGGAAGCACAGCTCAGGTGGTAGAGTGCTTGCCTAAGAAGCGCAAGTTCCCAAGTTCAAACCTTCGTACTGCCCTAATCTACCTAAAAAAAGAGACTGACTTCACTAGCAGTACTTTTCTCTGACCTATATTTTCTTTAGAACTCTTCCAAGTTGGTCTCTTAAGAACAACAGAGCACATCTTAAGTCTTATGTTAATCACTTATTGCTGCTAAGTACCACCATACTCTTTACCTTCCTCTGAAAACCTGTAATTCTTACCCTCTGGCTTATTTTCCATGCTCTGATATACCAGGAAATAACAGCCAATAAAAGCCTAGACAGTCGGGCTGGGAATGTGGCCTAGTGGTGGAGTGCTTGCCTAGCATGCAGGAAGCCCTGGGTTCAATTCCTCAGTACCACATACACAGAAAAGGCCAGAAGTGGCACTGTGGCTCAAGTGGTAGAAGGCTAACCTTGAGAAAAAGCTCAAGGACAGCACCCAGGCCCTGAGTTCAAGCCCCAGGACTGACCAAAAAAAAAAAAAAAAAGCCTCGACAGTCAGAAGACAAGTTCAATAGGACCCTTGGCCTGATACTCTGAGTGACCACCATTTGTATATACTTCTTCCCCTGGCTCATATAAGTCACAACCTCAAAACTGCCCTTCCACTGAGTCCCAACCATGTTTCATAAAAGAAAGAGAACACCTGCCAAGCGATGCCAGGTGCCACTGGCACACCTGTGACCCAGTGACTGAGAGGGTCCGACCCAGAGGACAGTGTTCTGAAGACAGCTCAGGCAGAAAAGCTCTCAAGACTCCATCTCCAGTCAACCAGAAAAGAGTGGCACAGAAGCAAAATGCCAGACTGAGCTGTGAGACCTGAACAAGGACTGGAGATCCTGAGTTCACGCCTTGGTCCTCATGCATACATGCACAAACAGGTCACATACAACAAGAACCGAAGAGAACATCTCCAAGTCTTCTCAGTCAAAAACCTCACCAAATATGACCAGATGATGTCATGAGCATTTCAAATCTCAATTATTTAAAGATAGGAGATAAGTGTCATCTCTACAAGAGCTATTCTTGTCCCACAGGTGAAGATGTCCTAACTCAAAGATGTGAGTTCAGTTAGCAGTGGTGATTTCTCTAGTCATACCAATTCACTTGCTTCCTCTCAAATGAGAGTACTTCCCAGACAAAGGAGGGAATCTCCTAGGTAGAAGTGAAAGCAAACAAACAAAAGAATTAGGAAAGCCTGTGTTACCATTGCTCATCTGCACGGAGGGAAGTTTCTTCTCATTCATCCTTTCGTGGTTGGTGGGAAAGGCAGCCTGCTCTCTGTCTATGGATGGTATCAGGCTCTCCAGGGCAGGGACCTCTTGGGGAGGAAGTGACAGGAATGTCTCCTTGGGCATCTGCACCATGAGGCTGGAGAGAGAGTGGTCCAGAACGTCTTCCTCAGCAACGAAGGAATAGGGACAGTATTCGCGGTTCCTTGCATAGATGTTGGCGTTGTCGTAACAATCTGAGCAGATCACCCGGGTACCAGGGCCACCTGAGGACCACATAAGAAAGAGCCACAACGTGTTTCTATTATGGACTGTGGTTGCCAGTCAACACAGGATTTCCTATGCACTTACTAACCAGTGCAGTGAAGTTCAAGTCTGTGGATCAAGGAACTGTGAATGAACTGTGAATGAACTTGTGCCATCCTCACATACCTTTATGAAGCTGGTACTGCTGCCCAACCCTCATTCTACACTGGGCATGACCACCAGACAGAGGAATACCTTGACTGAAGGAGATACTGCCAGAGGAAGGGCTACAATACTCAGGTTGATGTTCTAGAGCCCAGGCTCTCAAGTACTAGGGCAAAACATCTCTGTCCAGCTTGGAGGGGCCAAACTCAGATCAAGAGACCGTAGGCAGGGCTGGCACTGAGCTATAAGACATCTGCTTGGCCAAGCAGACTAAAGCGGAGAATGGAGAGTGGTGACTGTGCTTCATGAGATGTAGTATGTTTTGAGTCAAGAAGCAACACCTCTGCTAAAAATACCCCTAGTCAAGAATCCAGCTGGACCATGTGTGGGTGACTTGAAAACAAAAGGGAATGACTATGTTAAAGAAAAAGTCCCTCATCATCAAGCAACAGAACTTCTAAACAGGAGACAAACCTAGCACTAGGGAGGCTGAGACAGGAGGAGGGCAAGTCTGAAGCCAGCTTGAGCAATATAGTGAGTAACATTTCTCACAGATTTCAAAGATAATCTATTAAAATTCAGATATTTTCCTTTTCCTTTGAAAAGCTAAAAGACTAAAGACATCTCTGAAGAGCAAATCATTTGTACTGCATTTGACGTACAAGGATGTGTTGAAAATATCTGTAACAATCTTGGAGGAAATGCTGAATGGAGTATTGTTTCTTTGTTTTAAAATGAGCAAACCAGCCAAGTACAGTGGTACATGCCTATAATCCCAACACTCAGAGGGAGCAGGCAAGCCAGTCAAGAGTTTGAGGCTGGACTGATCTATACAGCAAGACCCTATCTCAAAAACAAAACCAAAATAAAGAACAAACTAAAGTCTTAAGTAACTTGCTCTTGGTCACAAAGCTAGAAAGAGAACTAGTTAGCAATCAAATTGACCTTCCCGTGTGAGGCAGGAGAAGCAGGGAAGGGTGAGAGGTAGTACTGAAAACATTTTTCACATCTCTGATGGTCTCTGTTTTATTTAAATTTTACATAGCTCCACGTGCAGAAAACTAAAAGTGGACCCCAGTCTATCACCATGCACCAACATCAATTCAAAACGGATCAAAGACCTTAACATCAAACATGAATCTCTGAAACTATGCAGGACACAGTAGGAGAGACACTTGAACTTATAGGCACAGGCAGGAACTTCCTGAACAGAGTCCCAGGATCACAACAAATTGGAGAGAGACTTGACAAATGGGACTACCTTAAAATAAAGTTTAGCTATATCAACCAAGCTAGAAAGACAACCAACTAACTGGGAAAAAATATTTACCAGCAATATATCAGACAAGAGGTTAATATCCAGTATATACAGGGAACTCAAGAAACTAATCCCTACCAAACCTAAGAAACCAATTACTAAATGGGCAAGTGAACTAAAGAGAGACTTCTCAGAAGAAGAGATAAAAATGGCAAAGAAACACATGAGGAAATGTTTACCATCCCTGGTTGTAAAGGAAATGCAAATAAAGACAACCCTGAGATACCACCTTACCCCAGTCAAGAATGGCCCACATCCTCAAGTCAGCCAACGACACATATTGGAGGGAATGCAGAGAAAGAGAGACCCTATCACACTGCTGGTGGGAATGTACACTTATACGAACACTTTGGAAAGCAGTCTGGATGGTCCTCAGAAAGCTAAGTATTGATCTCCCCTATGACCCAGTCATACTACTTCTTGCATCTATCCTGAAAAACAGGAACCAGTATACAAGGACACATGTACCTCCATGTTTATTGCAGCACTGTTCACAATAGCCAGGATATGGAAACAACCCAGATGTCCCACCACAGATGAATAGATCAAGAAATTGTGGTATCTATACACAATGGAATATTATGCAGTCATTAGAAAGGACAAAAATTTTAATGACATTTTCAGGGAAACGGATGGAGCTAGAAGAAATCGTGTTGAGTGAGGTAAGCCAAGAAGAGCAAAGAGCCAACGGCACATGGTCTCCCTGGTAAGTCCAAAACGTAAGGTGATGCTACAAAATTAACAAGGCTTAAGAAACAAAGGACTTTCACTCATCTGGTTGAATCACTACTAAATAACCCCATGCTACTGATCACATATATGGTATATATGTGCACACTGGAGGGAAACCAGGAGGACGACACAGAACTAGAGGGAATCAGGGAAAAACATACAACAGCAGGACCCATCAGCTGCACTGGACTTTGATCAAAATGAACTAAGCAACTCAATGGCAGAGGGAACGAGGGGGAAAGAGGGAACAGGTGATGCTATGCAAAACAAAAGAAATGTACATATCACCCAATGTGGAAGAAATAACTGAACTGCAAAGCTCATAGAACTCATAAATGTTATAGACAATTTGCCACATGAAAGTTAGAATGTGTTTGTGACTTTAACTAAGCATCACTATCCACAATACTGTGAAATTTAGGAAACTATGTAATCACTTAGTCACAATAAAGAATGTGAAAAAACAAAAGATAACTCTTAGTGAACATTCCCACTATGCCAGACACTGTTCTAACAGTTGTATGTGCTAACTCATTCTACACATAATTCACAAGGTATGTCCTATTATCCTCAGTCCATTCCTAGCTAGAGGAACAATGAAGGTGACTGAAGATCTTGACTGAAATTACTCAGCCAGTAAGTAGGAAACGAAGAATCTAAAGCAGAAACTAGTCCACTGAGAACCAGTAGTTTATGCCCCTAATACTAAAATACTCAAGAGGCTGAGACCTGAGTATCATGGTTTGAAGCCAGACCAGTAACACAAATCCAAGAGACAATATCTCAATTAACCAGCAAAAAGCCAGAAGTGGAGGTGTGGCTCAAGTTGTAGAATGCCACCCTTAAGTGAAAAAGCTCCAGGAAAACAAGAATCCTTGAGTTCAAACACCAGCTGTGCACAAAAAATAAAAGTCTAATACTATGTTGAAAATGAACTTTACAACTTTGGTGGTGGGGAGGGAGAAGTTGGGGAGATTGGGGAGGGAAGGGATAATAGGGGAAAAACAAAGGCAGGGCAACAATGCTCGACAGGAAATGTACTCATTACCTTACTCATGTAACTGTAACCTCTCTGTACAGTATTTTTACAATAAAGAAGTATTTAAAAAAAAAGAAAAAACTTTACATAGCTACTTATCAGCAGGGGAATTAAATGTCCCTTAGATATGATCTTAAGGATGCTTATATCCTAAAAAAGAAGAGATTTTTGAAAATAATTCCTAGACCCTCCCCTTCCTTCCCTAAGAGAGATTTAGGAGCTTTGGCTCTGTATTCAATCTATAACAAATCATGTACTTCTCCTTACTATATCGTTTTCTTAAGACTTTAGTCAAATTTGCATCTATTTTGCGTGAGGCTAGGTATTTTTCACTAGGTCTCTCACTGTAAAAATACTGGCATAGGTTAATGGAGAAAGTACACACTGAGAAATGGAATAGGGTGAAACTGTAACGAACTAGAAAATCCTTACCGTCAGTGCTTTTATGTACAAACCCATTGGCAGGAGGCATGAGCTGCTGGTGACTGCCAGCCTCAGAGCTGCTGTAGCCTTCCTGGGGTTCGGACAGTGTTCCTTGGGAGGACAAGTAGCTGGGAATGTCTGCAGGCAGATTGAGTTCCTCTGGAAAACAGACATCATTTAGTCTCAAAGTTAGGCAGTTGAAGCCAACATGAAAAAGACAATTTTACAAATTTGTATTTGGCCAGGAAAAGGTACAGACTTGGGACCCCAATAGTTCTTTATACTTTTTCTAAGACTAGATTTTACTAGACTTTGTCTTCAAGCTTCACTTTAGAAGTACAGTGAGGGCTGGGTTTAGTATCATGGCACATGCTTGCCTAGCATGTGCAGACCCACACACCTCCCCACACCGAATCCCCCACCCTGACCCCAAAAAAGGGAAAAACTAAAACCTGACCTCCAGTCACTTTCTCAATCTATCTTGCTGGGTATCTTCTCATCTTAGGGAGAATACTGTTCCTTATAGCAAAAGTATGATGGGACTGAACCACATGCACTAAAAAAGATGAATTTATAGCACATTTATAAACGCATTTTTTGGGAGAGGGAAGGGGTTTGCAAAGTTTTAAAATTACTCCCCCAAAGAGGTTCTGTCATATCAAGGAAGTGAACATTTTACCAGGAAACCCCCTGAGATGTCATGAGACACTGCACCACAGGACCCCAGTTCAAGCCAAAGGTGGCCACTGGGCACTACTCACCTGTGTTTGTGATGCTATAGTCTTCGTTCTTCCTCCTCATGTGGTAAATAACAATGACCCAGATCACGGAGGTGCCCACCACGCAGCACACCACGACAATGATGACAATGCCAACTGTGGTCCAGCCATCATCTTCATGCCCAAGGCTGTTCTGAGAAGAGTCACAATTGAGGGACGAAATGACATTTAGGTAAATATGGCCGCGTTCTGTCCCAAGGGTGTTAGACATAATGCAGGTATATTTCCCAGCGTCCTCTTGCCCAGCGTCTACAATGATGAGAAGTTGGTTGGCCGCGGCAAAGAAGTGTCGTTCGGTGACCAGCAGTGGCCCATCGTCTTTCGTCCAGTTGAGGCGAGGGGCCGGGCTCCCTCCAGCTATGCACTGTAACACCGCTGTCTCACCTCGGGTCACTGTTTTATCCTCCAGAGGGCGAATGAATGAAGGTGTTTCTAAGAGGAAGGAAGGAAGCAAAACAAATCAACTTAAGACAACTTTATTTTTGAAATCCTACTGAATGAGATTGCTGAAGGTGTGGTGGTATGTGCAGTTCTGTATACTCATGGGACAATTAGGAGTTAATATTAAAAAGGGCTGGGAAGGTGGCTCAGTGGTAGAGTGCTTGCCCCTCATGCATGAGGCCCTGGGTTCGATTCCTCAGCACCACACAAGCAGAATAAAAGCCGGAATGACATTGTGGCACAAGTGGTAGAGCACTAGCCTTGAGCTGAATGAAGAGCTGAGGGACAGCGCCCAGGCCCAAAGTTCAGGCCCCACAATCTACATCTGAGTTGGATATCCACACCTGTAATCCCAGACACACATGAGGCTAAAACAGTCTTGACAACTAACCAAGATCCTGTCTAAAACCAAAGTGAAAAAGGATGAGGATCTCAGAGCTGTAGCAGAATACTTGCACAGCATGCATGAGATCCTGGGTTCAATCCCCAGTACACTCCCTCAAAAAGCAAAAAAAAATATCTAAATCTGGGGCTGCAAGTACATTTTAATGGTACAACATTTGCCCAAGATAAATAAGGCTTTGTTCATGATTCCCAGCACTGTGAAAACAAAAC